CGGAAAACCGTATTTTTCGATGCATTTTTCTCGATGAAGAATTTTTTTTCGAATTTTTTATTTATTTTTATGTCAACCTACATGCTTTTCTGCACATTTGATGCAATAAAAATTTAGACCACCTTTAAAGAAAGAAATAACCTGTCAAGCATGTTATGATGTCCAGGATAGAGATAGGAAACAAAGGGCATAATTTCTTTTCGTCGCAGAGTTCCATCATGAATCGGAGCATACGGACCATTATTCATTTGAACACGATGCCTAGATGGTGGAGGCATTGAAAGTTCTCTTCTTCGACTTTCTCCATAATTTCCATTTGACCGTAACGACGAAACTACACTGGAATTCGTATCCGAATATCCAAATGAGTTATCCAGAGAGTCTGGACTGGTGGGCGTTATAAAAATAAGACCACCTCGTCTATTTTGAGAAATTGACTTGCTTCTGGAGGAAGAATTCTGATAGGCTGATGATTGGTAGAGAGAACGTCCGCGATCTGAGAAGATGTTAAAATGGCAAAAGATAGGAAGAAATTGTAAAGCGGAGAAAAAGAGGGGAAATGAAACACGGGGATAGGGAAAATTAAGAAAAAGATTACCTGGTAATATGGAAGGTCTATCGATATGATGTGATCTGATTGAATTCTTGGGAGTGTCATAGGAAACGAGAACTGGATCGCCAATGTTCATTGGAGCAGGTCTACCGCGGGATTCCTTTGGACGTCTACAATTGATATTATCGCATTTTCGAAGGTTTCGACTTTAGTTAGTTCTATCTATCTTTGTTATTCAGAGTTAGTCCACACTAGAAAAATTAGAATGAGAAGAGACGAGTGCACGAAGACTCACTTATTCGGGGATCTTGGATCCATTTTTTTCATAATCGCTCTCGCGCGATCTTTGATTCGTTCACTTTGAGATCGTTGCAATTTTTGGTTCAGTTCATTTACACAAGCTGCTGTGGATGCAGTATCAAGAGAACTAGAAGTTATGAAAGTCTAGAAAAAAACCAGAAAAGAAAAGAGGAAACTCACTCATTGTATCTACCATTTTGAGCATCATACCAATCGGTTCGAAGCACTTTTCGACTGTCGCGGGTTGGTCTGAAAAACAATAAAAATTGAAGTTGTCGAGTTGAATGAAATTTTAGAAGTTGAAGGTCTTTCGGATAGCAATACAGCTCTAACAGAGCTCTCGTAGAATGCGACCCAACCCGTCAACGTTGAGCTCCTGTATCTAATTTCGTATAAAAGCTATAAAAAGTGGACAACTGATAAAATGTTTATCATCTCACCATCAACATTTTATTAGTGGGCTGCTTTTTGATAACTTTCACAGGAACCAAGATAAATTGGATGAAAGTTAAAAGTTAGGGGTGGAATTCTATTAGATTTTTCACAGTATCTTATTTCATAACTAGTTTCATTTTCCAGGAATTTCAGAAATTCCGAGTCAAAATCTGTTATCTCATGAAAATGACAAAACAGAAAACCTCAAAAAAAACTCACTGCGCCATATCACGATGCCAAGTGGAAGTGCTATTGGGATGTCGTGCTAGTGATCCACTATAAACATGATCACTTCCAGATGGGCGACTCCACGTTTGCGAATGCAACTGACTTCCGCCTCCACCTCCTCCAATTCCACCGTAACGCCAGCTATCAGAAGAATAAGGACTCTGAAAATGGGGATAACTTATCGATTGGGATCAACTTCTTCCACCCATTCATTTTTAAAGGGGGGCGTTGTCTCTTCAAAAGGAATTCGTTGGATATAATTTGCGGGTAGAAAAAGATATAGGATGTATCGTTTTCGTCTTCTTCCGCCCATAATCACATAATCAACGGGTGATGATATTATTGATGACGACATTTGATTGTGGACTTGGGAGGAGATAGAATAATAGAAGAGGAATAACAACACAAAAATATATCGGCAGAATACAAAAAATGAGAGAGGGAATGATTGAGAATGGATTAGACGGAAGTGATATATTTTTTATCTGCTCGGTTAAATGTATGTCAAAGTCCTAATTAATAATGTAGCCAGTTAAGGTACTCTAATAAAATCAAAGTTTCAAAAATGGCATCTGGATATATCCTGATCTGGTTTTAGAGGTGAAAATTCGTTATCAATCAATAGTTTTTTTTCTGTTTACTGATAACATGCAAAAAGATCTACGAAGATAAGTAGTGAATCATTAATTGCGAAAAGAAAGAAAGAAAGAGAGAGAGAGAGAGAGAGAGAGAGAGAGAGAGAGAGAGAGAGAGAGAGAGAAAGTGACTTACATTATCATCCACTTTCATCGGATCCAGGCGTGGGAACTCGTTGTTCTGAAATAAAAGTGAGGTTAGAAATCTGAAGAATAATTCGATGATTCACACTTCTTCAAATGTTAGGTGGGGGCAAAATCTTTAAATACCGAAATGTTTTGTTTTTTAAGGCTGAATTAAAAGTGGCGTATGTTTTGAAACTGGCTATTAGAATAGCTCAGAAGATATTTCGAAATTTTATATTATTGAGAGCAAAATAGAGTAAAGAGCTATAATGGGCTAAAAGAACTTAAACATTTTATAGTTCCTGAGAAAAATTGGAATTTTCGTTTTTTCTTCATCAGAATTTCACCATATAAGAGTACTTCGAGTTCAATTATCTCGGTTCCTGAGAGATATCAAAATTGTGTTCACTAATTAAATCTTTGTTTTCTTGTCATAAATAATTTATTAGTTAACAACTTTCTTATATCTTTGACAAAAACCGAGATACAGTGGCTCAAAGTTAAAAGTTAGAGACCCTTCGGTTACATTTTCTACGGTAGTTTATGAAAAAAATTGCATTACAAATTCCCACTATTTATGATTTTTGTATTATTTTGTCTTTTCTTTTCAAGTTTCTTTGATGTATGAAATGAATTAAAAAGCCGGGCAATTTCCAGTAGTATTTGAATTTCATATATCCTAGAACCTGTAATACAAGGACCCCTTACTGTCAACTTTAAGCTAACTAAATTATCTCGATTTTTGTTTAAGATATTGACATTTTGTCAACTGATAAAACGTTTGTGATATTATGATAAACATCTTGCATCTTTAACAAGAACCGAGATAAATTGGCTGAAAGTTAGGGGATCTTCTATTACAGGTTTTATAATAAACCAAAATTAAATTATGTTTCTCAGATTCACCCAAAAAGAAAAAAAAATGAACTTGCCATTCGCCTCCTCATTGGAACACTATCCACTTTCATAGTGTGACATTTATTCAGAATCTCGATTCTTCGATTCAACGAACGCAGATCCGTCTCGGGAAGTGTTGGATCTTGTGATGGTTTGATTGGTAATTTTCCTTCTGAAAAAATAAGTTGTTTCTTATTTGAGCAAATTCCGAGTAAACTATCAGAAAAAATAACGTCATTGTGTTCTCTTGTTTGTTCATGAGAACAAGGTAAACTAGGTAAACTTGATCACTAAAAACCTTGTCAAAAACTTCAAAGAGTTCTTCTGAAACACCGGGTGAAAATTATTTAGTTGACAACACATTTTTCGCTTCTTCTTCTTTTCTAATCGACAAACAGCAGAAGAGAGGAAAATAAGGGGGACTTGCTTAGTGTTGTTTGCCTTATCTTGCTTGCTTATGCTCGAGATAATTTGCCGTTCCAAGAGAAAAAGAGCGAAAAGACAGAAAAAGGATAGGGAGAGGGAACTGTTTACGTTTCGACAAAACATTAACCGGAAGGAACGGAAATCAGAGGCACGTTAATTGGGATTGATCCTATTTTATTAATCGGTTCGTTTTGTTGTGGTTCCACTTTTTAGCACTGATAGTCACGGATGAACATCCAAATCAAGTAAGAATCAATGAACCGTAGCATCTAAAACAATCCAAATCAGTGAAAATCATTTCCAGTTCAAGACATAATCCAATTCAATTCGATTCAATGCACATTAGTGGTTTTCAGATTTCTTTCCAGTTTTCACCTCGCTTCAGAACTTGTGAAATTTTGAGATTTGAGCCAAAGAAAAACGCGAAAGTTAGAAAAATAAATTACTGCTTGAAAACCTGTAATAGAAGGGCCCCTTCACTTTTAATTAGAACCCATATATCCAGTTTCTAGTGAAAGATATCAGTAAGTGGCTCACTGACCGAATTTTTAACATAATATCTCAAACATTTTATCAGTTGTCATATTTCTCCTATCAAGAATAGAGATAAGTTAGCTCAAATTTGAAACTGTGGGGGACATTCTACTACAGGTTTTACGGTACATGCAAAAACTAACAATCTCTAAAAAAGTTAAAGCAATTCAAATAAAATTTGATATGTGAAGATATGGATGGGTCTTTTAAAAAGTCTGAAAATTAAAGGTTTGAAAGAATATACAATATTTCTTATGTTTCGAATTTTAGCTTCAATTTTTTAAAGAAATTCTCCATTTTTTGGCAAAAATTTAAAGATTTTTTTTTTCAAATTCTTCAGATTTTCAGATCTGTAAAATTATGCTGAAATCTCAAAAAGGATTTGAAAGAAACTGAAAGAAATAGATCGGAGGATTAAATCCAAACTTGGATTGGATTTGAAATTTTTCGGGTGTGATAGCAACATGGTCATCAAAAAACACAGAGATTCTAGCGAAACTTGAAGAGCAAAATAGAACCAATTGAAAAAATGTGGTGAATGGAAAATCTAGGACAGGCAAAAGTACTCAAAATGACATCACGAGTTACTATTTGCGACGAGAAGAGAACGTGATCAGACATAACCGAAAATCTTACAGAGGTTTCATAAAATACACAAATCTTTAATTTCACCTAAAAATAATAGTAATCGTAAAAACACTTGACCGAGAGAAACATGAAAAAATGGGGCGAAAGACAGTGTTGCATGGGTGTGTGGGGGCATGTCAATGCCAAATTAGGCAGGTTCTTCTTCTTCGTTTTTTCCCTCCCATCTCTGTTTTGACTCGTAGATTTCCTCTCCCGTTAGGCGGCAACAAAACCCCCGTCACCTAGGCAGGGCAATTCGTCGCAAAAAGCGATTTTTCTAATAGAAATCGGATATATTCTTCTTCTTTGATTCTCTTGTCTCTCCCTCATTTTGGAAGGTTGGGAAGGAGTGACATAGTGTTGTAAAGCATACATTCTTAGGAAGGTTAAAATTTATGAGGGAAAGAAGAATTTGACTTGGGCATCAGAATTTAGATGTGAATTTTTATGTAAAAGGGAGGGGTTTTTTTCTAAATGCCTCCCTCGATTTGTACCTTTATGTGTTTTTGGTCAGTTGAACATATATTTCTTTTAGTGGACGAAAGTTTTGTAATCAAAACGTAGAAGAAAGAATATCTGACAGCAAAGACCCGGAGCCTAGAAATCTAAAAGCGGAAATTTCGGGATTTTTCTGATAAGATATACTCCAATAATGAATAAACGTGCAGTTCTCAACTTAATGTTATATTTACTTTTATAATTACTGATTGTGATTGTTCTTGAGTAAAATACACATTTACAAATGTTAAAACACATGGAAATACGTCTAGTAGAATGTTCACCTAACTTCCAACTTTGAGTCATTTTATCTCGTTTCTTGTGACAGATATCAAAAAACAATCCACTGACAAAATATTTTTGATATTGTTATAACCATTCTGCCAGTTGGCTACTTTCTGCTATCTTTCACAGGAACCGAGATATATGAGCTCAAAGTTGACAGCTAAGTGGGGATTCTGTTAGAGTGTTTACGGTAGATTTACTCTTATAGCCTATAGTCACTTGAACAGTTAAGTTTCTGACCAAACAATCTTAAAAATTTCAGATACGCTGTCTGACCTACTAGTAATTTGGTATTTAATTTGATACCAAAAGTGCGATCAATAAGTCTGGGTTTCCTTACCTTCGAACTGGTCGGCGTACTTCGAGAAACCTGCTTTTCTCAACCAAGAACACGCATCCAGTGCATCTCGTTCTGAAAATCATACATATTCAGCATAGTAACGATTTCAGAGTATTAGTACACTCATTTTTCCAAAATCTGCAGAACACGAACATAACAAAGAATAAGCAAAAAAAGTCGGTCGAAAAGATCAAAATGACCAATCCAAAAGCTTTTTTTTTAAATTAAAGACAGCAACAGCAAAGAAACCAAGAGAATAAATTTTCCAGCTTCGAAAAGTTCGGCTAAAACATGCTTTTGGTAGTGTCAGATGCCATTTTTCACTTTTCTGACTGACTTGTCGCTTTTTCTTTATCGTTCAATGTGTGAGAATGACCTACAGTTGGAATAAAGGAAAGCAATTAAGAGAGATTAAAATTGATAAAATCCAGTGGAACTTTTATGACCTAGAATAGAGTGAGGTGCGGTTAGACAGAACGACGCCTTTTTGACACTTCTTAGATGGATATAGTAGTCACCGTTTTTAGGAGATGTTAGAAAAACCAGTCGGTTTACGCCCCCTGTCGGGGGCTCAACCTCCTGGCTCCCGCTTTCTGTATCTTATAATTGAATTTCGAATTAAAAAATTTTCGAGTTTCCGAATTCATCAAAATTTGTGAAAGTTTTGCATACTATCAATTTTCTTCGAGGAATATTTGATTTCCCAAATTTTCAGAATTTCCAAACTACTGAAAAAAGTTTTTTTATGTTCTGAAATCCGGAGTATGTGAACTGCCCGTTTCCTGAAGTTTTGGATAACTAAAAGTTAGGTTTACTAAACTTTCTGGTCTCCGAAAATTGTGAATTTTGAAATTTTCGAATTTTGAAAAACAGTCGGTTTGCGCCCCTCCGGGCTGATCCTCCTGGCTCCCGCTTACAGTACCCGTTGTCTTATAGACAGGTTTTGTCCTTTTTCCAGGGACTATTTTTTCATGGTCTGTTAGGAAATTTCGAAATTCGATATTTTGGTTATTCAGAATTCCTAGAATTCGGAAAGTCGGAAGTAAGAAAATCCGGAAATTGAAAAAGTAAGACACTTGGAAGTTCAGAGATTAGTAAATTTTAGAAAATCAGATGTAGGAAAACATTAATTTTGAAATCTAGAAAAGTGTTTCAATCTGTATGTCTCAAATACCCAAATTTTGGTATATCAGATTTTAAGGAATCGGAAAATTCAGAATTTTGCACACTTACTAAATGCCGGGCTGGCCTGAAACGGCCCTGTTTGCAAAATTTATAGAATTTCGAAAAAGTTTCGATTCGAGAATTTGAGAACCTGAAAAATTAGAAATTCAGAAATTCAACTTTTCGAAACACAGTCTCGTCGAAAAATTTTTGGAACTTCGGAAAATCGGAAATATTGATTTCAGAATTCGAAAACTCTAAATTTCGAAAATTTAGACATTCCGAAAATTGAAAACCTGAAATGTTGGAAAATCTGAAAATTTGAATTTTTTGGCATATTCGGTGAATAAGATCTCAGAAATGTATAAATTCCAAAATTTGAAAGATATGAAATTAAATTCGGAAATTTTAAACATTATTCTGAATTCCGAAAAAATCGAGTGATCAGAAAGGGCGCTGTTATTTTCCCTCCCATTCTGTTTCTTTCTTTTTTTTCCTTTTATTTTCTTTCCTTTCCACTGTTTCAGAATTTTTTCTTTCTTTCAAATCTTTAAAGCCCATACTAAAAGAATATTTCCACAAAATCCTTGCTCTCAAATGGATAAGAAAAACATTTGGGCGGTTAGACGGAAATGACGTGAATATTTCTTCAATATTTTTCTAAAAATTTGCACTGTAGAAATAGAAGAACGTCTCCAGAAGACGTCAGACACAAAATTTCGAAAGAGTAAATATTCGGGCATCATTTCGCTGCTAATCTGTGAAAATTTGGGAAAATTTGGTTCATTCTGGACTTCGTTAGGGAATGTGATACGGGAACAAACGGACACACACACTCACACACAGAATTTGGTGATTGTTAATAGTAAAGATGATGAGATTTAGCATTTGGGTTGAAACCCAAATGCTGTAAATTTGAAAATGCCGATGATGTGTTTCCAGTGTAGAATTTCACTTAAGTATGCTAGGGTCGCAGAGATGTTATATTTTTCTAGTCTCAATATTCAATCAGATCATTCAACAAATTCTATATTTTTACAGAAAATGTTGTCCCCGAGTTATTAAAGACTACTGAATCTTACTGGATACTCATTGGACTCGGTATTCAACGAAACCGGAAACGAAGCGGTATTGGATACGGAGTCTGTGCTTTCCACACTAAATTTGTCTGTTATATGTCTTTAATAAGTTTAATTCTGTTTTACTAGTTGCGTTATATTAATTCTATATACTATGCAGAACAAAAATTACAGTATGCAAAAATGGGCAGATCTTCAGCTCTGTATTTTGAAATGCCCCAAGACAAGACAACTAGGGCGTCGCTGGCAACTTTTGGACGGAGGTTGTTACGATTTAAAATAGGACCACTACTAAAGGCAGTCAATTTTTGACAAACTTATGAAGGCTCTGACCTAGTGGTAGTTTCAACTTTGGACCAAAATCTGACCACGGCCCGCTCAAAATCCGTTTTCGGGCAAGTGCGGACCAGAACATAGCCAATATCCGTCCAAAAGCCAAACCCCTCCACTTCTGACTAGAAGTTACAAGACGACGGCCATGAATGACTAAAAATTTCAAATTCGGGCCATCAATCGAATTTATTAATAACGGTATGTGAGCTCTCAAACTGAAATTACTGCAATTCTTATTTGCTCTTCGCTCTTTATGATAAAATGTTTCTAAAGGATTTATTTTCAACTTTTAATAGGTTAGAGCTCAGGATCTCTGTGTAACTTTATATAGATAAGAAACTTTAAGAACTCTCGAAAAACTATAGATTTAATCAATTAACTTACTGGCTCTCCTCAGGTTTCTCTTAGATCTATCCTGGGCATAATAGAGCATTGCATCGTTCCAGTAGTCATAATTCGAATAAAAATGAAAATCATAGTGCTTGTGTCGATAGTACATATAGGATAAAAGTGTTTTGTTCTTGTGTTCTTGTGACTACTCAATTTCTCATTCAACCCCATTTTTTGTATCGTATTCTAGTGTTAATGAGAACACTCCGCCTCTCTATCACGCATTTTGCGCAAATATGTGACAAAGGGATCGGATGTGATATGAAAAAAAAAACTGAGAAGACGTTACAAAAGAAGAAGAAGAAGAAGAAGAAGAACTAAAAAGCATGATGTGAAATTGATGAATGACACACGCCGTCAGGCAGAGATAATAATTTATGTTCTCACACATACACTCGCTACTTACGGAAGTTTCTATACAATTGATTTATACTGAACAAACGTTCGCTACTTTACACATTTCTTTTTTATTATTTCAATGAAATAAGACCATTATTGTTGACTCACCAGATAATTGAAGAGCAAAGTCCGCAAACGTATTGTTTCGTTTTGTCACTTCCTTCTTGGAACCGTTCTGAAACAGTAAAGAGTAAGAGAATTTTCTGTGGGAGAGAAGATAAAAACGAACATTCTTCGATGCACTCAACTCGCTGAGCCGTTGTACCATTGGAAGATTCTCGAGTGAGAATGGTTTTTCAATTGTTTTGATTGTTTTTTGTTGTGGTGTTTCGGAAGATGATGATGGTTTTGTGATGATGGAAGAGAATGTGTTATCGTAGACACTTCCAACTGCATTCTTTCGATTTTCTGGCTTGCGATTTCGAAATGCTGGAAGTTTAGACAGGCTAATCTCAAAGTCCTTAAAAGGTCAGGTATTTAAAAACTTCAGAAATTGAAATTTGGTAAATCGGAACTTCAGAACTACAGAAATCCAGAATTTTCGGTTTTTGAACTTCAGTCCTACAAAATTTCCGAATTTCAGAAATTCAGAAATTAGGATCTTCAGAACTTCGAAAATCCAGAACTACAATTATTCAGAACTTCAGAAATTCAGAACTTTAGAATTTCAGAATTTCAAATCTTCAACAATTCATTGGAAATCTCCATTTTATATAATACCATTTTTTTACAATTCCAACTACATTTTCACTATACAATCCCATTTTCTAATTCAAAACTTACATGCTGGAAGTGAGTCAAAAATCTGATCTATTGCTTCATCGGGTGGTGGTTGAGGATCGGGAAACCACGAGCTGTTTCCAAGACTCTCCAGCTCATTTACACTCTTTTCAAGTTCTTCGAGGTTCCTGTAATTTATCACACATTTGCACTTTGGACTGAAACTTTTGCAAGCATTGTATTATTACTACACTATATGTCAATCAACGTCTTCTTTTTTTTCCATCTTCAAAACTAATATAGTGACCGATTTCTGATCATTTTTCTTCTCATTTTGAGAACTATCCATTTATCATTCTCTCACTTTTTCCTTTGCAAAACATTCGACTGTTTGGACATTCCAATCAATGCGACTTCTCGATCTGCTTCATCGGAAGAACATTCCTCATATTTCCCATGATCCGCGCATTCTGGATTCATCCATTCGAACGAAGATGCTCGAGATGGTTTTTGTGTCGCAGTGTCCGAAGTTGCCAAACGATCAGAGCAATTCGATTCGGAGTATGGATATTGAGAGCAGCTGGCTTTCAGTAGGTCTCGAAGAAACTGAAATTAATCAAGTTTCGGGGAAAAAAGAAAAGATAATACTCACTGTCGGTCCAACTACGTCTTCTGCTTGTTTTTTCGATGTTCTGGGAGAGGGAACTGGTTGAATTGGTAGAAAAGTTGAGGATTCCTCATCAAACATTGGAAAACGTTTTCTTTTTAATGGGGATGGTGGTGGAGCTGGAGCAGAAGACGTCATGAGGGATGATGTTGCCAAATTAATTACCAATTCAGGTGGATTTATCAAAGACTTCTGAAAATAATTTTTTAATGAGAAATTGAACATAACTTATTTCCTCTAATAGAAGTGGATACTATCAACTTTGAGTTCAATTATCTCATTTCCTGTCAAAGATACAAAAAGCCGGGAACTAATAAAATATTTATGATATTATGATGAACAATTTATAGGGTAGGCTTCTATTAGTGGTAGTACGGTAGCTAGTTTTACATCGTTTTGTACCGGAAGCTAAACTAAATTTTTTTCTTGATTTTTTTTAAATTTCTGGTCGATAGAAAAAACTCACAGTGACATCCATAGAGCCTCGACGACTAGATGGAAGGGATTCGAGCTCTGCGAAAATTTGAGATGTCCACCTGTAAATCAACGTTTTGGTATCGAAAGTAGGTTTGAAAAATAGAATTTGCAATTTCAAAATGGTTAGAAAATATCAGTAGTCTTCAATTTATAAGAAAATAAAAAACAAATTGGCTCCACCCTGCCTACACTGTAATTTTCGAATTACCAAAAAATTTGTCATTACTTCCTTGAGCCAAAAAAAATAGTACTGAAGGTTTGTTTTAGATACTGTGATGAATGTTTCAATTGAATCTTCCAAAAACTAAAAAAATGAAATTGACCACTCCTTAAAAAAGAGCTAACATTTGTCAATACGATCTAACACAGAGAGTGATCCGAACAGATCATACTGGCAAGTGGCCAAAGTAAACAAACAAAAAGGAAAAGAAGAAGAGGAAGTTAGTAGTTTAGAAACTTGGTAAAGAAAACTGTTACTTTTTAACCGAATCCCGATTGTTGAAATCGATGTTATCTCCGTTCAAATCGCGCACACTCAATGATTTTGTTCCGATTCTGTCAAATGTTATAAATGAGTGTCGAATTGTTTTGTGAATGGATTAGAGAGAGGGGAGTGGTGACTTCATCTATTTCTTAGCTTATCAAATTAAGATGAATGAAAATGAGAAGAAAAAAAAACACATATGTATACATGAAGAAAAGAAAGTGTGGGTAACAACTGTCAATCATATCATATCAGCAGAAAGAAACCGCTGGAAATGCAGTTCTAATTTTTGTCAGCTTCATTGATTCTGTTTAATGTTTAGAGGGTGATTGAGAAAGATAATTTCCAGCATTTTTGAGTTCCGAAATGATTCTAAAGCTTCGCAACTTGAGCAACCGTAAAACATGTATTAAAAAGTACGGTTATTCTATTGCTCCAAGGTTTCTCCAGATTGTGAAAGCCCTTCTATTACAGTGGCCCTTCTATTTTGCGGACCTTTTTTTTTACAAAAGTTTTCTTTAAAAAATTCCATGCATTCTCGTTCAAAATTCATCAATCTCACCAAAATTGAGCAAGTTTTTGAGCAAAAAAAGGGGTTTTTCAACAAATTTCTGGAAAATTTCTCACTGGAAACGTATGGAAAAATTTTTATTTCAAATAAAAAAACATTTTGAAAATACTCTTCTATTTTTCCGTACCCTTCTCACTATCAGAGAACCCTTTCATTAAAAGGCCCTTCTAATACAGGTTTTACGGTATTCTGGAAATTGTGGAAAACGCTCTAAACCTTCGAAACCTAATCTACTTTATTGATTTCTCAATTCTTAAATTTTTCAGACCATTCCCAATCACTGCACTCCCCCATCCATTCCAAATCGAATTTTTAAAAATCTCACTGTTTTGTGCTGTTCTCATCGTTCTCATTCTCAGTTGTTCCTTTCAAATTACTTGTCGAGTGAAATCTTTTTTTCATATTTCTTTTCCCTCCATACTTTCGTCGATTTGATGGAAGTGTGTTCGAGTCAATCTGAAATTAAACGGAACTTTTTGAAAATTTCTAGAATCCTGTACCTGAACTTTTGTGTCATCATCATCACTGGAAGTGGATTGACCCGAACCACCAGTAGCCAGAATCAACCCAATATCTGGCTCAATAACCAATGATTTTCTCTGCTGTTTTGTGTATTTCCTTCTTCGAAGAACGGGTATGTTCTCAGAAGTATTTTCAGGCAAAACTTTGAAATCTTCATCAGCCATTAGGATCATATTCATTGATTTTACTCGTGGTTTAATTGGTCGATGTCCATTTTGCATCGGAAAAAAACAAAAATAAGGAAAAGGGGTTGGGCCAACAGAAAAAGGGCAGTGTGACCGAATAAAAAAGAAAGGTGAGACGAAAGAGAGACCATAAATATTTTATGAGATATTTGAAGAAACAAAAAATGTATAGTTTCAAAGGAAATATACAATTTTAAGGCAAACATCAATGGGTTCAAAATTTGAGGTTTGAGAATCAAATTTTTGGAAAATTCTGAGTTTTTACAAGAGATTTCCGGAATGACTTGTTTTCAATAAACGGAATCCGGAATAAAATCATTTTCTTAGAATTCAGAATTCAGTTTCCGGAAAAATTAAAATTTAAAAGAATCCGGATTGAAACTCACTTCTCAAAATACGGGATACGGAATCTGAAACAAAAAAAAACGCAGAAACTGGAAAAAGGAATCCGTAATCTGGAATCTAGACATCTTCAGTGTGCAGAAAAATCCTTGAAAACACATATGGTGCTTCATTTTTGCATGATGGAGCGGAAGTTTAAAATTCTCGCGACATAGAATTCTTACAGATAAACATTTTTCTAGAAATCCGGAAGAACAAAGTTTTCTCGCAACTAGGAATATGGAATGGTTTTAAAATAAGCGAATGATCATCAGGGCTGGTGCATTTTTGATGCACTAATCAGTTAATTAACCTTATATAATTAAAAAAAGGAAGTTTCAAAGGATGCTGAATTTGAAAACTAGGTAATAAGATTTCAAACTGATAGAAAGAATTTTCATGAAAAAAGTATGACTCAAAACCTTGCAAACACAACAAAAATTCTCGAGTTTGGCCATTTTACTAGGAAAATTTTTTTCAGCTGAGACAACATTTCTTCGTTTACTGATGTTATCAATCGTGTAGGCCAACATTTCGAAAAGGAGTTGAGAAGTACTCCTTCTAGGTTGAAAAATAAAAAAGAATAATCAGCATTATCAAATCAGAAATCATTCGGAAGGGCAATGACGTGGAACTGCTTACTGCGTGGGTCAGGACACAGTAGAACAAAAAAAGAACGAGAGACAAGAGAGGGAAATGTAAACAAATGGAATGCTTAAATACATTGATGGAGAAAAAAAGAGAATATGATTCACCTTCTCACACTTTACAAGACAAAATGAGCACCGTATGAGAGAGAGAGCAAGAAGAGAGAGAGAAAGAGTTTTGAATGAGTGTCAAGTGATGTATACCCAAATAAGTACACATATATATATATCTATTTAAATTTTGCAGTCTCCCAACAGCAGTCTCTCTGTTTCTAATCTATTATGCAAAACACGCCGGAAATTGGGAAACACGGAAAAGAGGAAGAGAGAGGAACAACATTCCAAAACTACAGTACATATGTTCCGGACCCGAAAAACCACACGTATCTTTCTAGTCTTTTGTCGAGTGATTTGTGTTAAGATAACTCTAGGCTCTCTGAGAGCCTCAGCATCCGTCCAAAAAATTTCTTTGTCAAGTGGATTATTGAGCGCCTCCTGTGCCAGAGGAGCCACTTAAACGAGTGTCTTGCCGGCGGATATGGATTCAAAATGACGAGAAAAGAAAAGGGAGGAAGTCGTAGAAGACTTCAGAAGTTGACTTTCAGAAAAAGAAAGCCAGCAAAACCTTTTACGAGGGGAGAAAGAACTCTCAAGAGGGATTTTAAGCTGATTCAGTTTGTCAACTTCCCAGGAAGGGATAATTGGAAATTTGAATTTTGTTTTGAAAAAATATGAATTTGTGCAAATTCTCGAGAAACCAGAATAGTCTAGAGCTTTCTGCGAGTTCCGTTTTTCACACCGGGGGACAACAGTAATCCGACTCGGAACAAATGATGCTTAAGAGAGCCGATCGAGGTAAAGCACTGGTTTCTCCAAATAAAGCAAGACACAGTCTAGAGAGCGGTGGGGAACTAATGAAGAAAGTCAAAAAAAGGGAAGTATAATATCCAGTAGTCCTAGAGGTCCAAGTCGACAAGAAAAATCTGAAGAAACATTTCAAAACTAGGTACCACACGACTAGCGATAAAATTACCGTATTTCTTCTAATCTCAAACCTTCAACTTTGAGCCAATTCATCTCGATTCCTCTGAAAGATATCAACAATTTGTAAACTGTTTAATTCTTTATCATGGTTTTATCAGTTGACAAAATTTTAATATCTTTCACATTAATCGAGATAATCGAGCTCAGGGTGACGGTTTGGGTCAGCTTCTATTAGTGGAAATACGGTATCCAAATAAGAAACTATCATTGAAAAATCGGTTCGGCCAAAAAGGAAAATAATCAATTTCGCATTCATTCTTAAAACTAGAAATCAAACTTCCTGACCCCATTGAATCTATGAAAGTTTTTCAGGTAAGAAAAAATACTGAAAACCAACAAAACCAAAGAACCATAGCCCTAAAATATCAAATATGGAAAAAATGGCATTAAGAAAATTTGGTATTGAGGAAACGAGGAAATCGAGACCCAGAGAAAAAGAAATTCAAAAAGTTATGTATTCGAAGGAAATGACTCAGACTGTTCTTCTGTCACCAAGCATTTCATTGTTTTTTGAATAAAAGAAGAAGAAAAAGAAAATATGAGAAAATAAAAATAGGAAAAATTCCGAGAGCATTACTAAATTTGAACTCTCCCGGCGAGCCCCGGGAATGTTGATATGGACCTATCAGAATTTACACAAAGGATTATGTCTGGAGGTATTACATGCGTAAAGAGGGAGGTGAAGAAGAGGCGGTTCCGATGGATCAGAAATCTTGGAAATCAATCAAATATCAACTGGTACAACTTGTCATCTTATAGGGCACCTTATAAGGATATATTCAAATTGTTGCCAATCGAATCGATGGACACCGCAAAAGAGAGTGATTTTGTTTGCGCGTCTCTCTCTTTCGCATTGGCGCGCAACAATTTCCATGTTATTTGTTCAGTCGCTTATCTTATCAGATTTGTTTCCGTTCTCTCCCTCGTTTTGCCATGTACTCCAAAGAGAAGAAGTCGGCACTTTCTCTCTTCTCATCCCTTCTCAAAACTTATAACACGTTCCGGTCAGTTTATGTTCCGACAGGACCGCGTACAGAGCGAAAGTTCAGGAGAAGAAGAATTAGTAAGAGAAGAAAAAGCATGTGTGTTTAAATTTGTATTTTTGGGTGAAAGGCTTTTTTGAGAATCAATAACCACATTCCTTTTTTTCTGATTCTCGATCTGCGGAAAGGTCAATCACAAGATCAGCTCTTGACAGAGGCGCGGCATTTGGGTTTAGATAAATATCAATTAGAACTAGATCGAGGATGTTCTGGATAACGAGTTGGTGAAACAGAGAAACGTGAGTTGAAAGAGGAAGAATTGAATGTCAATAGATGAACATTGAGATTTTGGAAGCATCGAAAAAGGACCAGCTGGCATTTCGATAGGGTGTGGCAGGGTCAGAGCGCTTTTCGGGTCGGCTTTTTTGAGCTGGCCTGCCATCTGTAGATAGGGTTCGATGCGTGGGCGGACAGAATTCTTTATTCAAAAAAACGTAGATTTTTCTAGAAAATTTAAGATTCCGAATTATGAAGATGGGAAAGCCGTGGCCACAGGTTCCAGAACGAGAACTGTTGTAATCGAAAAAGTTTTTCCCAGAAAACAGACAAAACATTATTTAAAATCTGATAAATATGAATATTATATTCTTCAAAATCAGAATACGGTAGTTTTCGTTTTGAGACCTGCAACCACGGAAACAGAGAGCTAGCGAAGAGCCATTCTTTGGTTGGTTACTTTTTGAAGGTAGAAAGAGAACGGTTGAAAATTTTGCCAAATATCGAAAAAGAAAAAATACATACAACAAGTTTCTAGGATATTCGAAATTTTCCCAAAAAAAATAAAAGTAAATCGAATCAGGTTGAGAAACAGTGGAAGCTTCTTCCACTCGATGCATGGTAGTTCAACTTTTAATTAAATAAAAGGAAATGAACGAGAGAAGCATTGACAGATGGAGATAATCAACAGCAAAACAATTTTCTAATTAAAAATCAATGTCTCAACTCCCCCTTTCTCCATCCCTTCTCTCCGCCTAAATTACTTCAAAATAAGTGAATGAAGTCGCTCTCTCTGTCCAGCTGTCTTACGTACCACTCTCATTCACAAAAGTAGAAGAAACCAAAGGGTCGAAGCAAGAGACATCTGGCTGTCTTCTTCTTTTTCTTCTTTTTTCGAAAGAACGGAACATTTGTCACCTCTTCTTTTTCCTTTGTAGACGACGAATCAGCTGGCATCACAAAGGAACTGGTAGATCGCTTTGAAACCGCAAAAATCAAGCTGAAGTTGAAAAGTGTTGCATGTGAAGATTTGAACAAAATGGCACGGCAAAAACATAATGTTTCAAACCTTCGTTCGGGCCAAATTTGCAAATTAGCTCGGTTTTTCGATAAGAAACAAATTCGCCAGCGATCATGTTCTTATCAAGAAATCTGAATCGACGACGAATTGACGCCGACACAACACATTTCAGAACAGCTTTTTTAGATCGACTATAATGAGAAAGCCAGTACTGTTTAGGATCCGCAATCTAAACTGGACTGAAGAAACATGAGAATAATAGTGTAAATTCTAAAGATTGACACTGACAAATGTCTTTTCAGAACAAGCAACAGTTTGAAAAGTTAGGAACAATATTTCTAACAACACGAATCGAATCAAAAGAATTTGAAACGTATCCTAATTCTTGTCTTCGAAATTCTCAGACGGTTTCACTTTGGTGTTCTTTTCAGTTTTCGCTTCATTAAACTTAACTGTCAAATCGGGTGCGAGGTCAGGATGAATTCTCAAGTGTTTTGGTAGTAACACCTTCCATTTGTGTTTAAATTTAACCAAAAAGTGTTAACCGTTTTATTAGAAATCTTCTGTTTAAAGAAAGAACAAAGAAAAATTATAAGAATGTCATCAGGGATAAATATTGTCTAGATTGATGGGACTGGAGTCAATAGAACCTTCGTGGCGAGCTCCCATTCGAGATCCACATATGTGAAATTCCAAAAGTCTGGCTGTCCGAAATGGCGAACATTTGTGATATTGGTGTTATTCCAGCTAAATTATGAAATAAAACCTATTAACTTATTTATAATAAACTTACTCAAATGGTGGAACATCTCCATATGGTGGTCCTCCCCAGGCACGGAATCTCAATTTCTTGAACATCTCGTAGTTGGTTCCCTTGAAATCAAGTCCTGCATGATCTCTGAATCCCATGGACTCGACTTCGTAGGTTCCGCCAGGAATGTTCAAGTCTCCACGAGCAGAGATTCCTCCCTAAAAACAACAAAAATTAGTAATTTGGACCTCTTAAATTACTCTCACCTCTGCTGTCCATGGATCTGGAGTACATTTACATCTGGCGAATTCTTCATGTTTATAGTTATTATATCTCATCAATTTTGTCAAAGAATCAATGTCGGTAACCGTCTGATGATCTCTGTCAAAAATTCTGGCACGTGGAGAACCTCCCCATTCGTACCATGCGAATTGTTTGGCTTTGGTGTCGAATCCAGAACGTTCGCTGATTTTTGGAAGGAACGGAATGTTGTAGGATGCAAAGTAGGTGTACTTCTTCAGGTACCATGTCATATCACGAGACTCGTAGTAGCCACTGAAAAATAACAACATTTTGATAAGGATATTTTTTTTCTGATTTGATAGATCTTGGATGTTGGGAATATTTCCAAACTGGAAGACTTACGGTGTCTGTTCAGAAATCCAGAGTACATCCTTGTCTGGAATTGGTTGTCCTGGCGTGAAATGCTTCCAATCCAAAACTGTCCACTGATTATTGTATGTTCCTGAATTGTACCGCCCGAAAGTGTCAACCCATTGTTTTCCAGTTTTTGATAACAAATTGGAGACCATCGATCTGACCCAGCAGTGAACTTGCCCTTCTGCACTCATATACTTATCAGTGTACAACGAAGTGTTGAAAATTGCAATGGTTGTTTCGATTGAAGTCTGAAAATTATTTTGATCATTGTAATCATGACCGATTCCTACTTACCAATCCAGCAGATGTGATTGTGTAGTCGTCAGAAGAGATGAGTGCTCCTGGATATCCAGAGAAAGTAACAATATGCCCTGGAACTTCGTTCACATCATAACCGAACTTGTAGATCTTCAAAATTCTCTGCATCCAACTTAGAGATGACATAGAGACATGAGCGATGAACAAGTCCTTGTTTCCTGGAGCCAACTTGATGAATCCGGAGCATCTTCCGGCTTCTGGATATTCCAATGGATCTGGAGTCTTATTGAGGTATTTATTGAGATCAAACATATCTCCAGCAAGTTGCATCATGCTGAAATTATGAGAGTTTGAAATAGAAAAGAGATATGGGAGAATCTTACTAAATCGGATGAAGATCGAAACCGATTTCTGGTGTCAAGTTTCTCTTACTGTAGGCATCGTAAACTCCCGTGAGTTGAGCGAAAGTCAAATTGACTTGACGCCAGAATGGATCAGTTGGTGGATGGGATTGCACTTGGCTTCTCATCCAATCCAAATTCTGTTGAAGGTAAACGTAAAGCCTTTTGCAGAACAATCTAAAAAGTAGGTAAAGTCTCATTTTGTAGAGCAGAGTCATTCAGTCTTACGTATGATTATTGCACATTGTCTCAATGGTATTACGGTAGTGATAGTAGATCTGAAGACGAGTTAGCTCTCCTTCAGCGACTCCAGCAGCGTATGCCTGGACATCGTAAGAGTGGCTGGCAAATGTTTCAATTTCGAGAATTCCCCATCCAGTTGTGTTAACTTGGTTGGAGTACTTTCCAAGGGCAACTCGAGATTTGGCATCTTTACATTCTTTGTCATGACTGAAATATTTTTCTAGTTGGTACATAAATTCAAACTTTTGGGACGGCTTACACAATATCCAAAAGTGTCTCATCTGTTCCATTCACACAAACTGACACATATTCATATTTGAATTTTCCAGATGAATGATCACTCATCACCTGCTCAACGGGAACTCTCTGAAACAAACTGATCTATGTAATTAGCTAATCTGTCGAAACTTACGTTGTCTCCCAGCCATGGTTTCTCTTGATCTATAGCAGCTATTAACCCAAAGAGAAAGAAGAGTAACTTCATTCTGGAAACGGGAGAAAATTTATAAACTTCAAAGGTTTCTGCAACAAAAAAGAGAATAGCCTAAAAAAGAAGAATTGGAGTAGAATAAGAAGAATAAGAAAAAGGTTTTCTTTATCATCATCTATCAATGATAATGAAAACTTTTAGGTTAGACAGTGAGCTAATTCCGGAGGGAGATGTGTAGAAGAGACATTCTTATCAGTGAATGTAATTGACCGACCGAGCCACCAAACTGATACCAAATCGAAAGTTATCTAGAAGAATTACATTTAGGATAGATGGAGAGGAGAGAAGAGAGAGAGAAAAGAACAAGTTTGTTACACTGAAAGAATGAAAATGTTGCTTGAGATGAATGGATAAACAAAAGTGTCAAGAGTTGCAAAGTTTACAGAGTTCGAAAATCAATTTTTTTTTGAAGACACAGTTAGAATCGTTCTTGTCAATGAACCTATTGGTAATAGTTTAAATTGTGACAAGTCTCATGGAACCGTTTTTTGTATAAAATTCAAAGAAGTTCAAAAATAAAGCTAGAACATATTTCTGTTTAATTCTTGAATCTTCCAAAAATTAGAAAAACATGGGTGGAAAACTGGCGGAATTCCCCTAATAATTGTGCCAACCTAATCTCCGCCCACATTGCATGCAAAGCATAGTGGACGGCGGAACCCGGGAAATGTCGGTACATCCAGAAGATCCCACTATATAATCGACCTCGTTTGGGTGCTCTTTCGGTGAAAAAAAAAACTAATTGAACGGACAAAAACTGACAAATCCGAAGAAAAACGGACGGAAAACTGATGAAAAACGGGCAAAAGGCGGACGAAAAACTGATGAATAAGCTGATTTTAGGTCGATCACAACCCTATAATACCGTCGATCTTAAACAAAAATACAGAACAAGCATTCAACTAATTTTACAGACCCAATTTTACGATTACCAAAAAGTCCGTAGAATCCGTAAAGTTTGTAAAGGTAAATTCACATCCTGACCCAAAGTATATACTCTTTCTTATAGTTAGTTCCATTACCACGTGAATTATCTAACCAGCCTCATCGCTCCATTTTGCATCTATCGTATATTTTTCTACTCCAAATCTCTTTTAAACCGTGTTTTAGGAAAATCATTTTCTTGAATATCTCGTCATCAATCGAAGTGATTCGACGCACAATTGGACACAATTATAGAATGCCAGTTGCAGACTATCTCATTCTCGTTCAGGTATCAATTATCCCACCGGCTCATAAAACTCAGAAATCTTTGAGAATCTCTTCTTGATCTTGGTCGTAGTTTGTCCAGCATGGATTTTGTGCAAAGGAAAGAAAAAAGCTCCCACAAACAAATCCAAAATGGGATCAAACGAGCCTGTTCCAACAAAATCGTCTCCTGTGAGTTGAAGAATCTATATAGAAGTGTATGAAGGCATTTTTTCAGAAAGTCCCCAGTGCTGATGTTGCTCAAAGTCAGAAGATCGCAGTTAAAGAAGAAACGAAAAAAGATGAAGCTGTAGAATCAAAAGCAGAAGGAGAATCGAAAGAAGGAGATAAAAAAGAAGGAGGTGGAAGTGGAGATGCTGCGAAGGAGAACTCTCTGAAACCATTCCCCAAATTCGAGATGCCAACTGAAAGCAAGAAAAACAAGAAGTTGGCAGAAAATGAGAAGGATAAAAAGGAGAAAATGAAGAATGGATTCTATCAAGAGAAATCGGATGAAGATGATACTTTGGAGAAAGTGGATAGTTTGCATGTTGAGCAATCGGAAAAGACGAAGCGGTCCCAGAAGAAAAAGAATAAGAAGAAGACATAGAAACGAGATCATATAGTGTTTTGCTTTTCTCATAAAAAAATTTTCATTTTAATTTTTATTCTTATGTGATTTGGCGACCAGGGGAATGTGAATTCAAAACACCTGTAATTGATGGGTCCCCTAACTTTTAACTTTGAGTTAATTTTTCACGACCCTTGTCAAATTCGGAAGTTGTCAACTGATCTATTGGCAAAATTTTGATATCCTTTGCAGGAACTGAGATAATTGAGCTCAAACTGGACACTGTGGGGCCCTTCTATTACAGGTTCAATTTTTGATTTTTTTTTTCTAAATAAAATATTGGTACGGCGTTGTACTGAGCTCAAATTCGGAATACAAAAACTCAAATAATCCATCAGTAAACTGGTCGAGTTCTAAATTACTTGATTAACTTTCAGCTGAGTTATCGCTTGCCAAAGTTGCTTCATCTCACGATCATCACAAGAAACTTTACGACGTTCATCTTTGAACCATAATGCCAAAACCCAGACTTGAGGAATCGTTTGGAAAATTTTAATAGCTTTGAATCATGCGTGAAATCATATTTCTACCAATTTTCGTGCTTTCAAGATACTTGTGTCTAAAGATATACCTGTTTTTATCAGTAAGGATAATTGTGCGCCACTCTGTTTATCCTTTCAATGTGTTTTCTTTGAATTTGACTTTTAAAACTCTCAAATTTTCAATATATGCAAACAATAGTAGTTTCTATCTTTATAATTCACTTCCTGTACTTGACCGAATCGAAACGGAAAGTCAACACGAAACTCGTTAGCATTCTAAACCTTGCTAAACCTCTCTCTCTCTCTATCCCTGAAACCGGCCACTTTTCTTCTCCTGATCTCTCCCCGTTAAATCCAAAATCTCTTATAAATCCTCTCCTTTTCACTTCCAATCCAAAGGCAATAAGTGGCGCCGGATGACAATCATAGCGTCGTTTTTATAATGATTGACCTCTTTCGGTCATGTAAGTGGATGGTAGTATTCCTTTTCTCCACGCCCCCAGCCATCTCTCTGATCATTTTCCGTTCTTCGAAACATACACTAATCGGTTCGTTTCACCAGTTTATGAGACTTCTTGATGAGACATCTATTCGGCTTCTTCCTTCTACCTGTTCTCGGTATATTCCCATCGTTTGATTCTTTAAAAATCTTCTTCGCCCTTGTTATAGTATCCTCTCAGTTAGCTGCAGTCTACTCGGAAGCTTCTAGAACATCGGCATGCAGTAATTGGAGCAGTTGGGGTAAATGTGTATGGCCAGATCAAAAAACTGGGGTGAGGTTTTGAATCAGAAAGAGGTTACTGTAGTTTAGCAGAACTCTTCCAGAAACCATATCTTGAGCAAGTTTCATCAATTTGCCAACATCATTGGTTTTACTCTTTTATCAAGCGTTATGAGAACTCATTGAACTCCTTCTATTCTTATATGGGAAGTGTGTTAAAATCAAAGAAGCCATGTGGGTTGTGTTCTTATAAGCAATCGTGTGGATTCGGAGGCGCTGTCAAATGTAATCAAAGTCCGTTGGCGTAAGTTTCTTCGTTTGATTTCGGACTATCAGTCTTTTAGATTTTAGATATTATTTAAGTAAAAAATTCGGAGATATGGAGGATAAACGCTGGTGTCAGTAGCCGAAGGTCTGCCGTAACCTAAAAATAGTTTTATTTTCCGGTTGTTATTACCTCGATTTTCGTGCGTTTTCAGACAATTTTCTTAAAGGTGGGGAGACATGAAAAAAATAATGTTCTCGAAATTCCGTTCAAAGATGTCCCTCGAGGAGTTGTACTTGTGAAGGCGATGATTGAGGGTGCGGCGCCGCTACCGACTGAGCCACGCGGGCAAAGAGAAAGCGGACGCCCGATTGCATACATAAAGGCGAGGACGACAGCTGTACGCAGAGTGACATTAAGCGTTGTACACCATGACGGTAGAATGCATATTATCCTTGTCAGAGAAAAAAAAGGTTGAGTCGAAGTGTATGCGATGTTTGTAAACAAATATCTGAAAGCGTAAACAACCGGAAACAGTTGAAACGAGTGCGACAGTAACCCGGCGGGAAAATATTAAATTTACTCATTTTTTATTTTGCAGCAAATTTCGTCGAATA